TTATAGGTATTTTACTTTCAAACATTTAATTTATGATAAAAATATCAATGTTTGTAAGTAAAATTCAAAAAGTGTTACAAAAAATATCAATATTCTTACTTTCAAATATTTAATTTATGGCTCTATGCCCCTCCCTTTTTGTAAGAATATTACTGTACCACTTTTTGAATTTTACTTACAAACATTGATATTTTTATATAAATTAAATGTTTGTAAGTAAAATACCCATAAAGAGCCGATACTTTAAATAGGTAATGCGTACTGCATATAGTTTAACATGCAAATAGTTTGTTAATTAGTTAGTTAATTAATTAGTTAATTAGTTAATTAGTTTAACATGCAAATAGTTTGTTAGTTTCGGACAGACAATAGTTTTAGTTAATTAGTTAATTAGATAAATAGAAATTAGTTAATTAATTAATTAGTTAATTAGTTAATAATTAGTCAGATAATTAGTTAATAGTTAATTAGTTTAACTATTAACTAATTAGATAATTAGTTAAGCAATTGTCAAGCAAATAATAATTGTCAAGCAAGAAGAGGGCAAAATTGGAAGAAATTTCTTATCTCACTTCTACAAAAGCTGTCAGGGAGGTTTCTGCAACAAATTGTTACTGTTCAGGGGAGGTGAATGCAATTTCTAAACCTAGAGGGGAGGTCAGTGCAAATGTCAGAAATCTCATGGGAGGTTTCTGCAATTATCCCAATTTCTTGTGTTAGAGCAATCATAGTTGTCAATTCAGTCCTAACTTGAGTAAATTCAGTCCAACAAAAATAATAAATGTGAGGGATAATTTCATAAAATTCTTATCTTTTTCTTAGTGCCTCTGAACTTTAAAAAATTATCATTGACTTCCCTACGCGTAGCATTTTATAACAATGTCAGTCCCTATCCTCGGGGAAGAGAATATAATTTTATTCAAAAAATTGACAATTTCTTATGTTCTCTTAATTGTCACAGCAAAGTTTATTAGTCTTTTTAATTTATAAAACTGATAAAGAATCACCCAAAATGACCTTTTCCACATTGAAACGCACTTCAAATAAGCTTTGAAGCATTTGTCTTTTTCTAACTTTCAGGCAATCAATTTGGAAAATAATTCAAAAATTCAAAAAAATTTAAATGATTTATGAAACTCAATAATTCCCCCAAAACATTTTATAATAAAAAGAGTAATTTATATTGTTGTTCGAAGACACCTCAAATTAATTTTCAAAGACAAACTGTTTGAACCTAAAAGCACTAGCTGCTTGGTGTTGTTGTCGATATATATTTCATCCTTTCAACCTTACAGCTTCACAATTATGTCTTCGTTTTCAACTTTTGGTTGATATATTTAGAATTTTGCACCAAAAAGTAATATAACAAAAGGACAATTTTGGTATTAAATTATCTTCTTCCTTCTAAAATGATATTTTTAATGTTTTATTTTGAAATGAATTGACAATACAATAAATTAAAAGTAAGGGAGGTTAATGATACTTTTCAAACTTTAGAGATACTAAGTGGGACTATTAGAAACTTGAGCGAGGTTTATAAAATTATGCCTAAATCTTACCCTAACAAAATTTGTACACAATAGTATAAGTAGCAATGTGTCAATCCTTATGGCCATAGGCCAATTCCAAAAACAAGAGATATCATGGGTACACAACGAGCCACTTCTCAACTCAAGATGCTCATGTTTCCATGGTTGGCTTATGGCCATATATCTCCCTACCTAGAACTTGCCAAGAAACTGACGGGTAGAGGATTTTCTGTATACATTTGCTCAACCCCGATCAATCTTGGATTCATCAAGAAAAAGATGTTGTGGTACAGAACTGGAAAATGATGCAGGAACTGGAAATAATGGAAACTAATCCAAAAGTAAGATCTGGACTCAAGTCAAGATGAATTCGTAAATCAATCTCACTTTTATTGAATAAACTTCAATGATACAGAAATGGGAAATGGCGGGAAAAGGGAAGAAGGGGAAGAAGAATGCAGGAAGTAACTTGGGGAGGAAACAAGGATATTCTCCTTCTGGTTACAAATTCAAAAATGGAATTCAATCCTAACAATTACATAATTTCCCTTTTAATAGAAAACTAATCTAACTAACTCCTCCCACTTGCTAATGAAACGGAATTGCATGTGAGGAGGAATCTTCTGGATGGTCTGGTGCAATCGTAGCAAGGATGGCATGAACCCAGAGAAGGCGTGTTTTCCAGTTCACGCCTCCTGCGTTCCTCGCGCCTTTCCCTTCCTTGCTTTCACGCCTTCGTCTTCTTGATGAAATGCTGATGATCGTTCTGCTTAGTTCACGTCTTCTTCATCCCACTTCACGCCTGATCACGTTTTCCTCTATTTGTACTTCACGCCTTCTATTTTCCTGTCCTTTGTTTCATTACAATACCTCCCCCTTAACTGCAAATCTTGTCCTCAAGATTGAAATGTAGGGAACTGCGCTTTGATCTCCTCAGCATCCTCCCAGGTGGCTTCTGCAGGGTCTGTTCCCCACCAGTGGATCAGCCATTGAGTTACCGCAGCATTCTTCTTTTTCACCATTCTTCTGCCCAAAATTGCCTCTGGTTCCACTCTCCAGTGCCCCTTCTCATTTATCTCTGGTAAATGGAGGATAGGAGTGACTCTGTTTCCTACCTTCCTTTTGAGCAAAGATACATGAAAGACAGGGTGGACTCTCGAGGATTTTGGCAAACTCAACCTGTAAGCTACTTCCCCAATCCTTTCCTCTACCTGATATGGGCCATAATACCTTGCTGACAGCTTAGTGTTTCCCCTCAGAGCCATTGAGTTCTGTCTATAAGGTTGTAGCCGTAGGTATACCCAATCACCCACACTGAACTCCCTCTCACTCCTTTTTTCATTAGCATACTTCTTCATCCTTTCCTGAGCCTGTTGCAGGTTCTGTTTCAACATGATATCCAGATGCTGCCTTTCCCTGAGATATTCCCCTACTGCATTTACCTTGGACTGCAGGTAGGGCCCTAGAGCCAGTTGTGGAGGTGAGAATCCATATAATGCTTCAAAAGGAGTCATTTGAATGGCTGTGTGGTGCGAGGTGTTGTACCACCATTCTGATAAGGACAACCACTGTTTCCATCTCTTAGGTTCCACATGAGTTAGGCACCTGAGGTACATTTCAAGCACCTGGTTCACCCTCTCAGTCTGGCCATCAGTCTGAGGGTGGTAAGCTGTGCTGTAATTTAGTTTGGCCCCCATCATACTGAACAACTCCCCCCAGAATTGGCTTACAAATATCTTATCCCTGTCTGAGAGCATGCTTTGAGGAATCCCATGAAGTTTACTGATATGGTCAATAAAGAGTCTGGCCACCTTAGGGGCATCAAAAGGATGTGCCAGGCTGATGAAGTGAGAGTATTTGGTGAATCTGTCTACTACAACCATTATGGTATCTTTTCCTTCTGACCGTGGTAGCCCTTCAATAAAATCCATGGTAACATGGCTCCAGGAGTGTTGAGGGATAGGGAGTGGCTGAAGCAATCCTGGGTAGGCTACATGTTCATCTTTGCACTTTCTGCAGGTATCACATTCTAGGACTGCCTTCTTGATTTCCCTGTACATCCCTGGCCAGTAGAATAGCTGCTTGGCCCTCAGGTAGCTAGCTTGGATGCCTGAATGGCCTCCCAGTTGAGAGTCATGCAGTGCAGTAATGAGTTTCTTCCTGGTGTCACCTTGTCCTCCTATGGCAAGTCTCTTCTTGTATCTGAGGATACCATCTTGATAGGAGTAATCTGGAGCTAGTGTAGGAGTCAGAAGCACCAGGGATATGGTCTTCTGAGCCCACTCGTCTCCCTTATAGCTTTCTATTACTTCTTTGATCCATTCAGGTACTGCACAGGAAATGGCAGTGCATTCTCCCACTTCTTCTCTGCCTTGTCTGGATAGTGCATCTGCAGCCAGGTTATCTTTTCCCTTTTTGTAGTGAATTTCGTAGCTCAATCCTAGCAGCTTAGTGAGCCATTTCTGTTGGAGAGGGGTAGTAATCCTTTGATCCAGTAAGTACTTTAAACTCTGATGATCAGTATGTATGATGAAGTGATGCCCTTCTAGGTAGTGTCTCCATTTGGTTACTGCTGTCACCAATGCTAACAATTCCTTCTCATAGATGGATAGTCCCATGTTCTTTTGTCCCAGAGCTTGACTGAGGTAGGAAATTGGTCTCCTGTTTTGCATGAGTACAGCTCCTATGCCAGAGTAGCAAGCATCTGTCTCAATTATGAATGGCTGAGTGAAATCAGGCACTGCTAGAACAGGGGTGGTACACATGGCCTTCTTTAGTGTTTGGAAAGCCTGTTCTGAGTCCTTATTCCAGTGAAAATTGTCCTTCTTCAACAGCTCAGTCAGTGGCCTTGCTATGGCGCCATAGCCTCTAACAAACCTTCTGTAATAACCTGTCAGTCCCAGAAATCCCCTCAGCTGTTTGATATTGGTTGGGATTGGCCATTGTTCCATGCATTCTATCTTTCTGGGGTCAGCCTGAACTCCCTCTGCTGTTATTATATGCCCTAGGTACTCTACCTGCAGTTGAGCAAACGAGCATTTGCTCATTTTAGCATATAACTGGTGCTGTCTTAAGATACTCATTACCTCCTCTACATGCTTCACATGCTCCTCCAGTGTTGAGCTGTAGATCAGGATGTCATCAAAAAACACCAGTACATGCTTCCTCATCTGATCTTGGAAGACCTGGTTCATCAAGCTTTGAAAAGTTGCTGGGGCATTGGTTAAGCCAAATGGCATAACCTTGAACTCATAAAGCCCTTGGTGAGTTCTGAAGGCTGTTTTTGAAATGTCCTCCTCTTTGACTCTGATTTGAAAGTAACCTGCCCTCAGGTCAATTTTGGTGAAGAACTTGGCTCCATGCAATTCGTCTATCAATTCATCAATCAGAGGCATAGGAAACTTGTTTTTCACTGTAAGTTCGTTTAGTTGCCTATAATCAACACAGAACCTCCATGTCCCATCTTTCTTCTTAACTAGTAGTACTGGTGAGGCAAAGGCTGCTAGGCTGTATGATGCCTAGTTCTAGCATCTCCCTTACCAGTCTCTCAATTTCTGTTTTCTGGATGTAGGGGCACCTGTATGGTCTTACTTGAAAAGGTTTGGCTCCTTCCTTAAGGTCAATCTGGTGTTCATGGCCCCTGGTTGGAGGCATTCCCTTGGGCTCCTCGAAGACATCCCTGTAATGTTCAAGTACCTGTCTGATCTCAGCAGGCAGCTGTGTTGCACTTCCTTCTTCTTCTACTGCCACCAGTTGAGCCACCACTCCATATGACTGTTTCCTCAGCCATTTTGCCAACCTTCCTCCATTGAGCCCCTTCAGTTTGGTGATGTCCCCCTCCCCTTGTAGCACCACTTCTTGTCTCCCATGGTGGATTTTCATACTGAGTTCTCTGAAATTAAACTCTATAGGACTATGTTTGGCCAACCAGTCTACCCCAAGGATCATGTCGCAGCCCCCCAGCCTTAATGTGTTGAAGGCATGTTGGAACTGGTGACCCTTCATTTCCCACTGTAAGGGCTTATCTAGTCCCTTGGAATCCACCTTCTCTCCATTAGCTACATTGACAACCAGGTTTGGTCCCTGAGTACCTAGTTTAAGATCCCTTGTCAGTTGCTCATCCAAAAAACAGTGGGTACTTCCACTGTCTATTAATGCAGTGACCAGTCTCCCTTTAACAAGACCCTTTAATTTCATAGTCCTGTGGCTTGTTCCCCCAGCCAAAGCATGAATAGATACTTCCATGTGTTCATCTGTCAGTTCCCCATTAATGCAATCACAGTAGACATCCTCTTCTGGCTCTCTGACCTCTTCCCTAGACTCAGTCTCCTCAGCTAACAGGAAATGCACATGTGATTGTTTGCATACATGGCCCAGGGTGTAAGGTTCAGCACACTTATAACATAGCCCCTTCTCTCTTCTCAGGTTAAATTCTGTAGGGGATATTCTTTTGAATTGGTTCTGGTTGGATGTTTTCTGGTCATGGTTCTGGTTGGTGTGTTTTGGGTGGTTTTGGTTCCATCTGAGGGCTGGGGTTATTTTATTGGGAGGTCTATGGTTGCTGAAACTGGTAGTAGCAGGTTTCTGCATTTTCTGGATAGCTTTGAGGTTTTTCTCTTGGAGTTTTGCTATTTCAATAGCAACAGCTAAGGTGTCAGGTTTGGACATTTTGACCATATTAACTATCTCCTCTTTCAGACCACTCATGAAGCATGCTTTGTAATAAGAATCAGACAAGTGAGGTAAGGATGGCATTACCAGGGCTTTAAGCATTTCAAATTTCTCGAGATAGTCAGCCACGGATCCAGTCTGCACCAACTTGTTGAATTCTTCAATGGCCTCCTCTGGACTCCCCTCTCCAAATCTGATGCTCATAGCAGTAGACAACTCTGTCCAGGGAATGGTCTCTCTCCCATGGAAGACTCCATGGAACCAGATATCAGCTCTGTCCCTGAAATAGAGCTCAGCTACCTCCGCCTTCATGTTCTCCTCTATCTCATGTAATTTGAAGTATTTGTTAGCCTTCCTGATCCACTCTCTGGGGTTATCCCCATCGAAAATTGGCAAATCTATTTTAGGCAATCTTCCACTAACTCTGATATCTCTTTTACTGACTGTCTCCTTCTGCAAATCCATCCTGGATTCGTTTGGCCTATCCTCTCCCTTTGAACTGCTGCTTCCTTCTAACTCTTTTCCTCGATCGCTGACTTTGGCCACTAGTTGAGCCATCATATTCATCATCCCCTCATACTTTTGATCCAAACCTTTGAGCAGTTTTTCAGTAGCATCCTGTCTGAATTCCATTGTCCTGATGGCCTGTTCCATTCCATCATTTTTGTTGGAAAAAGTCCTGACCACACTTCCTAGCTCCACCACGTCTCTCCTCAACGCTTCGTCTTGGTTTTTTGTCATCCCTATGGCTCGTGATCGAGCTCTGATACCACTGTTGTGGTACAGAACTGGAAAATGATGCAGGAACTGGAAATAATGGAAACTAATCCAAAAGTAAGATCTGGACTCAAGTCAAGATGAATTCGTAAATCAATCTCACTTTTATTGAATAAACTTCAATGATACAGAAATGGGAAATGGCGGGAAAAGGGAAGAAGGGGAAGAAGAATGCAGGAAGTAACTTGGGGAGGAAACAAGGATATTCTCCTTCTGGTTACAAATTCAAAAATGGAATTCAATCCTAACAATTACATAATTTCCCTTTTAATAGAAAACTAATCTAACTAACTCCTCCCACTTGCTAATGAAACGGAATTGCATGTGAGGAGGAATCTTCTGGATGGTCTGGTGCAATCGTAGCAAGGATGGCATGAACCCAGAGAAGGCGTGTTTTCCAGTTCACGCCTCCTGTGTTCCTCGCGCCTTTCCCTTCCTTGCTTTCACGCCTTCGTCTTCTTGATGAAATGCTGATGATCGTTCTGCTTAGTTCACGTCTTCTTCATCCCACTTCACGCCTGATCACGTTTTCCTCTATTTGTACTTCACGCCTTCTATTTTCCTGTCTTTTGTTTCATTACAAAAGATCACCCCAAATTACTCTGCCTCAATTCAACTTGTGGAACTTCATCTTCCAGACACCCCTGAACTTCCTTCTCACCATCACACCACCAATGGTCTTCCACCCCATCTCAATTCCACCCTGCAAAGAACCCTGAACAGGGCTAAACCTGATCTATCCAATGTCTTAGAAACTATCAAGCCTGATTTAGTAATCTACGATGTTTTCCAGTCATGGACTGCCGCATTGACAGCAACCCATAACATTCCAGCAGTAATATTTACAATTGCAAGTGTGACAAATATTGCATACTTCTGCCACTCGTTTGTGAAGCCAGGTCTTGAATTCCCTTTTCCAGCCATCTATCTTTCAGATTTTGAGGAAGCCAAGGCTCAAATCGCTGCTGAAGATGCAAGAGCTAATGTCAATGAAAATGATCCTGCATCTGAAAGGCCAAACAGGTTTTGTGACAGCATCATGCTCGTAAGGAGCTCGAGAGAAATTGATGGAAAATATATGGATTATCTCTCTGATATTAGGAATCTGAAGATTATGCCTGTAGGTACACTGTTTCCAGAACCTGCAGATGATGATCAGGATGATAAGAATACAGAGCTAATCCAATGGCTTGGGACAAAAAGCAAGCATTCAACTGTTTTCATCGCATTCGGGAGTGAGTATTTCTTGACTAAAGAAGAGATGGAAGAGATGGCATTTGCATTGGAGCTTAGCGGTGTCAATTTCATATGGGCTGTAAGGTTTCCTCAGGGCCAGAGAATTAAGCCTGAGAAGGCTCTTCCTGAGGAGTTCTTGGAGAGAACGGGAGATAGGGGAAGAATTGTGGAAGGATGGGCACCACAGGCAAAAATATTGGGGCATCCAAGCATTGGAGGTTTTATTAGCCATTCTGGTTGGAGTTCAATTCTGGAAAGCATGGTGCTTGGTGTTCCAATTATAAATATGCCTATGCATTCTGACCAGCCATTCAATGCTAGGTTGGTGGTGGAAATTGGTGCAGGAGTGGAGGTTGTGAGAGATACAAATGGGAAATTTGATAGAAAAGTGATAGCAGAAGTAATAAAAAATGTGGTGGTGGAGAAAATGGGGGGAAATCTGAGAGGGAAAATAAGGGAAGTGAGTGAAAAAATAAAATTGAAGGAAAATCAAGAGTTTGATGAGGCTGTGGATATGCTCACTGAGCTTGTGATGAAAAATAATCATCCTTCGAACTAATTCAACAGCCTTTGTGGAATTATGCAAACTGCTTTTTAAAAATGTTATAGTTTGTTCATTTTTCTTGGGGATGTGGAAAAAGCATTCCTAGCTTTGTGAATTGTTACTTTTTTTTTTGGCGAATTATTACTACATTTGTATTTTGTGTATTTTTATCTTTTTTTTTTTTTTAATAATGCACGTAATTCAGGTTACAATTCTTGTACTAATTTGCAGCTACCTCGCCAACTCCGCTAACTTATTTTAGTGATTTCAAGATTATAGTTATATGACAGAGCATTCAGAGTGGAGCACATCAACTCTCTCGGCAACTCCAAGCAAAAGAAAAAAGATAAGAGTTTTAGTAATTTTTATGAGTGAATCTTATATATACTGTCAATATATATATATATATATATATTATTATTATTACGATTGGGTGAATGATACATGAACATGAACAAATTTTGGATTTCAAATTTAAATTTTGTACATGTATCATAATAATTAACGATAATAGTGTATACACTAACAATAAATATAAAATTAATCCAATTTTTATTATTGTCTTGTCTTAGAAATGTTTGTGAGAAACATAATTTGTTAATGGCCAGCAAGAGTAGACTAATATTATATGGTATTTGGCCTTTAGTTGATAGATGCCATATAAGTTTTTGGTACTGGGAAGTAATAGATTCGCCCAAGTAACGCGGACACTATTACATGGAGAAGAAGAGAGGTCATAATTCTATCATTCTTTCTCTGGCGAACAGATTTTCTTTTTTTTTTTCCTTGACAAGATATATGTCATATATTGTGTCACAAAGATGAAACAAGAAAAAATAACTTGGGTATAGTTACAAATGATACATATGAAAAAATATATATATATGACATATAGATTACACGGAGGAAGTAGTAATTCGGAGAAATCAATATAAAATGTGCAACTCCAATTTTCCCTATTTCTTAACCATTTGGCACCATAATTTTTTAGCAGTTTCATTTCAAATGTCTAAAAGACAAAAGAAAAAAAAAAAAGCAACAGAAAATTTTCTGCTACACATTCATCCAGTTGTTGAACACATGTACTCCTTCAGTACACACTAAAAAGTTCATTTGAAGAGTCGAAGTGAGAAGGTTGGAATTATTTTCCAATTTGGGATACTATTGATTAATATTTGTCTTATGAAAAAACGAGACAAATAATCGTGCTGATTAAAAATTTCGCAGATGAGCCACGATGTATTGATTAAGAATTTGACCCTTCTTCCGATCGCTCAGACATAAATGAATGGTTATATCAATAATCACATTCAATTATCTGATATTAGATCCTGAAAATCCTACAAGTGATAATAGAGTGTAAATAGCCTTCTGAGTTCTGATTAAGCAGATCGAGGTGCCGTCCACTGCTTTCCATTTTCGTTTTTTCTTTTTAATTCTACTATTAATGACTGTTTCTTCCTTTGCTTTATTTCTTTCTCTTTTTGTTTTCTTTTCTTGTTGGTCTAAACTTTTCAGCTAGTACTATAATTTTTTTTTCTTTTATTTTACTCTTCACCGCCCACGACGGCCTTTATTCGCCCTTCCCAACAAGCGCTGCTACGTACCATTCATAAAAGTGTTAACGGTGGTAATTAGCAAAAGTAATTCCCTCACCTCTCACCGTTTGATTTGTCGCTCCTAAAACCGTCGCTGCCCAGATATGCGTCCCCCTCTGGCGGCCTCTTTGTTTCGGCTTTGGTCATGATTCCGGTCCAGAGTTTCTCAGAAATTGTCGTTGGAAACAATTCTTGAAGGAAATCTTTCATTGAATTTATTTTTTGCAATTAGATGCACCTAGCTGCCGTATAGTACATGCAATAGCATGTATAGTTATATTGCATCTAGTTATACTTTTGTAAGATGGTGAATGATAGATGATGATACCAAAATGATTGGTATAACTATCAATCTTGACGGTATGACATGTAATTACACGTACATCCAAAATACTGGATTTATCTAAATTTTTTCAAACATATATTAAATATACTCCATTATTGCATGAGATACTTGTCAAGTGAATAGGTAGTGTAACAGGATTATTACAGGAAAAAGTTGTAATCGAAGATTCTTTCTTCAGATAAACATGATGGGAGCACCTATATTGTCATGGTCTCGACCAAAAACTAAAAATAAAAATAAGCCTTAGTATCATGCCATTTTTAATCAAAAAGAGAGGAGTGACCATTATGTTTTTGAAGAAGGAAACACCCCAAAAAAGAAGAAAAACTGAACTTTAGTAGTTTTTTCATTTTTGTCGGCAAAGAGAATAGCACAACTTTAACAACCCACAAGGGGACCAAATCCAGAATCATGATACTGCACCCAACAACTATGAAACTTGATCCCAAAATCTCTCACTCTTCAAATTATTTTAGAAAATCTAATTTCAAGAGCAATATCCATAATGTAGAATTAATTAAACTAACTTCCCTTGTTTTTTATTTTCTTAAATTTCTATCTTGTTCACATCAAGATAATGGCTCGATGTGTCCGTTTCTTGTTCACATCAAGAAAAATGCGAATTTTGTTCCAGATGTTTGGAACATAATAGGTGAGTGTGAAACCTCCTTTTCCTTTTCCCTAAAATTCTTCTCAAGAAAGAGGGAGGAGAGAAGAAATAGGCAGTGGAAGGACAATGATGGCATTGAAAATTGAATTCTCTCAATAAAGAGGAACAAGAGATGATATTGATATGCGGTACATAACTTTGAAAAATTTGCATGCACTCAATTAACCAAGATTACCCCACTGCAATTGTACTTGTATATATGACGAATAAGAGTTTGGTATTGCCCTTGCTCATGGCAAGTGTCTACTACTTTTTTCACTCAATTACAATCATCAAAGGAATTAATCAAGTGCAAATTAAAAGGACAAAAAAGAAAAAGGAAAACATGTGTCCTCTTTGTTGGACATTTGAATACCACTTGGCACATCAAGTTTGAGCAAGAACTACTTCTACAAGTCAAAATATAGATTCTTAGATAGTTAGCTTACATGGTTTAATTTCTGATTGGTGCATGCCAAGGTTATTATGTGATGTAACATAAAATGAACTCTCATCCTTTACTGTGCTCTATACTGGTTTGCTTATACCAGATTTTTTGCTCAGGCAAATTAACTATAGAGCGAAAGTGAGAGAAGAATATTATGGGATCCCACCTTAGTAGATAGATAGTAACCAAATTCAATGTTGCTACCAAACTTGTTGCAAAAACATTAAGACCTGACCATCATGTGGTTGTGTCTCATGGACCGAATCATTTAGATTTTTGCCTTTTTATCTTAAAAATATGGATGACATGTTTTGACAGTTTCTGCTTAATCAACACAATATCTAGGATATTTGTTAGGTTTGGTGCAACCTCTAAATAGCCTTCTGAGTTCTGATGATGGGTATTTGCTAGGTTTGGTGCAATGTTTATGATTACTGGTCCGAGTGTAAACAATTATATGATGTTTAGTGCACATTCATTAATGGGTTTTGGTTGATGTGGGTCAGAGTTGAATTAAATATGAATTATTATTTGTGGTCCAAGGCACATGGCTATTCGTTTAATTGTTTAGCCTTGTTGCTTTCATGGTCCCTTTTTTTTTTTTTTTTTTTTTTTTAGGGCATGGTCCTATTTTTTTTAAGACAAAGTGGTCATCGGTTCTAATAAAGTATATGTCTAACGTTCGTAACAGGTGAAAGTGATGTTTTACTTAAAGTCCATGATGGTGGGGTAATTGTGGGGGAAAATATCAAAAAATATGTCGGTGGATGTGTTGAGAGTTTGGGTGCATGTAATGCTGAAATAATGATCTTTACAGTTCCTGAGAAAGATGTAAATATGATTCTTAGAGCTCTCGAGAATAAAAGGGATGTTAATAACAGTATATGGTTGTTCAGAAGCCAAAGGAAAAAGGACTAAGGAAACTATACTTGTTTAATGCTAAATAATGTTTTACTTCATTTCTTATTTACGGGTGGCCATGTATATGCATCTTTTGCAGGCTCATGAACCGAAAAATGCCACCAGAGAGTGACCGCAAGGACTCTAATGCAGCTTCTCCAGATGTTGCTGAAGAAGTTGAAGTCTAAAGGGAATTTAATTTTAGTTAGAAACTTCTATTGTAGTTATAAACCTCTAACATATGTTTATGGCCTTATAACTCGCCATAGTTATGTATATTTTTGGCAGCTTTTAACTAATATTTTGGTGGCATACTGATAGGGTGCATTTTGTTAGTGATTTTGTGAATATTTTCGGGTTTATTTCTGAAGTAACCTTCTTTGGAAAAAATTTTCCCAGTATGATGCTCTTTTATAAATTGTTACCATTTTAATCTTTTTTATGCCATGTAAGCTACCATTTTAAATGGAGGAAGATCTCACTTAAATGAATCCCCTCATTGTAGTAATCTTACTCAGTTCATACGCAAAGTTCAAACACCAACAAACCAAATCCAAAGCAAAAATAGGTAACAAACATAAGATTCCACATTTGATTAATGATAAGATATTATAGTTAAGAAGTATTTATATTTTAAACTCTTCAATCATCCAAGTTCCTTATATCAAAATCAATAGGATTTGATATTGGGTTTTTAGAAATAACATTATCATCTTAATACCAAGAATTAGAGATCCTAAATTTTGATCTCTTTGTCCCCTCTTCGCTTCTTAAATCCTACCATTTTCTCCACTAATTTTTTTTTAAAAGTGTTACCAATAAAAAATGAAAAAGAAATACTATAATCTTTTTATAATATTTTAGCGTTAATCAAATATAGAGTCTTTTCCTATGTTTATTGTCTTGGTTTTTTTTTAATTTTTCATCCTTAAATTTTTCTTTTTGCGTTTGCATTTCGTGTGCGAATGTGGAAACCAATAATCACGAGGTAGAAAAAAGTGAATAATATTACAACAAAGGACAATTACGTAAACATCTTCCAAGATTTCTGATAATTTCATGTTTTGCACCTCTACATTCAAATATTGTACTTACCACGCTTTTTAAGATATAATAATCTTCCCATACTTTACAAAAAATTCTAGTGACAATTTTTTGAAAAAGGGAAAAAAGTAATAAAATGCCTG